CGTGCACCAACACATGAAGGAGGCCCTTACTGCACCATACTCTACACATTGCTGGGTGGACTAGTTGCCCCTGATGCTCCTAAACATTTGGATATCCTTCAAACAGAACCACAATATCCCTCCATGCTGATTTCCTAGTTAGCACTGCAGGCTAGGACCCAGAAGCGTTTGGAATACTTCATGATCGCATGGCCAGCTGTTGCCCTATTATAATGCCTCTCAAGATTGTGAGACATCTATGCACACCATGACCTTCAAGATCACTCCCACATCTTAATCAGATGACCTACCAAGTTGCCCCTTTACCCACCTCTTGAAGACTTCCAGAACCATCAGTATTGACCGTGTGAATGGTTAAAGGCTGAAATCAAATAAATGTGCTAGACATCAAAGGTTACATAGCACTATGGTAAAGTATTGTAGTGAAAAGGGTATAAATGAGAGAGAAAAAGTGATAGATGTCAATGGTTATAGAGCATAATAGCATAATATGGTAGTGAAAATGGTAAAGATGGGGAACCAATGAAGTAAAGTGGTGATTAGCAAAAGAGGAATGGATAGGACACAGGGTGACTGGATGAAATGGAGAGTATCTGTGGCTGTGGAAAGAAGGTTGTTTAAGGAAAACTGGCAGAGCCTTTACGAAACAAACAATGGGTAATATGGGTAGAGATATCTGTTGGAGAAGTAGGAGGAGAAGAATCTGGGGAATAAGATAAGGGGACTGGAGAGAGTGTTGAAGTATCTGGAAGAATGTCAGGAGCGGAGGGATCTTGAGAAAGACACTGTTGCAGCAGAATGAATTCACATGAGCATTTTGGTGGGAGTGGTAAGCATAATGGAGAATGAAGTGAGATTGGTGTACATGGAGGGACAGGGTGGGGTGTGTTGGGCGAGTGTAGGAAGAAGGGGGATTTGGGGAAATTGAGGAGGAAGATGGATATCCGCATCTATTTTGAATGTAGAGGGAGTGGGAATAGAGGGATTGGAGGGGGGATGAGTGAGCAGAGCATTCTCTTGGGTCATTATTAGAAAGTTTTGGATGTCTTCAACAGTTTCTGGAGGAGAGTTGGGTTGGGTCTGAGAAACAAAGGTTGTCTTGTGAGGAGAAGAGGGGATAGATGTCTATGGAGTACAGGGAAAGGAAGGTTATAAACATTATAATTACTATAATGTTACTGATAATACTAATAGCAGTACTGCATGTCAGAAAATATTATCAAAAAATTTAGGAAAGCGGTAAACAGGTGACACAGGTGGTTCTCATCCCACCAGTGTGATGCTAGATCAGAGCCTGCACTCTAATTTTGTTCCCTGAGGCACGCGGGCAGGTTCCCAGACTGGCCAGTGTGCCTATTTTGGTACTGCCCAGAAATGGGGATTATTGCCCTCCAAATGGGCTGTCGCAAGTGGGTTAATTGTGCCAACCCCCCTTAAAATTGACCTTTTTATGAAAAATCGTGTTTAGCCCCATAGTGCTGGGAAAATGTGATGATACCTGCAGTATTTTTTGTGAAATATATATACATATAAATGACTCCGCAAGTGATCAGCCACTAAGGAGTCAATTAATAGTCTATATGACCTCACTTAATTTTATCCTTGCTCAAGTTTTCAGATTTTTTTTTTTATATAGGCCTAATGCATTTAATACTAATGCTGTTATCATCATTATTATCACTGATATTCTAATTAGAACAGTTAACATTATAAAATAAAATAAAATAGTTCTGAAAATCAAGGAAAAGAGTTAACAGGTGAGAGAGGTAGGCAGCATGATTGACTCATTTGTAACCAAGCACTTGTGGAGCCATCTATGTGTAAATACAATGAACAAAATAAACTCCCTGTGCGCATAGCATGTTTGTATATGCTATCACCAGGACTCTATGTTAAGAGATACCTTGGTAAGAGATACCTTGGAACTTTACCAGTTTATATGAGGTACCTATTTTGAAGAATGAATTTGTGTATTTATCAAGAAATGTGATGCTCAAGTACATCAAGTTCTGGCTACACTAGTAAGCTTCCACACAATGAGTGAATGAGGAATTTTTAAAGGAATACTGATGCTATTGCTAGTAAAATATAAACCTGTACATTGTCTCTGATGTATTCTGTAACTTCTTTTTTAATAAAGTATGTTTTTTTCAACTCATCTTTAAACTTTCATATTTTTGGGTAAGTTTTGGTCAAAAGATATTCCTCACTGTTATGAAACAGACACATTAAAGCTATCATTACTTAAATCTAATTATACAGCTGTACCTATACTCCATTTTCTTTAATGAGGCAGAGATCATTAATCTCATGAAAGAAAAAGAAAAGAAAAGAAAAAAATGGCTTTAGCAACTATTGTTTGATTTCGGAATCTAATAAAAATTTACAGCAGCATCTTGGAGGGGTCATGTTTGTACACTTAAAGCAGAGAGCAGAAATTTAAAAATTTATGATCATGTTAAGTATAAGCAGGGTGATTTGGTATCCTTGGTAGCTTTAAAAAAAATGCTTTGTGTTCTTTATGCAATTGGAGGGTCGGGTGTGCCTGGTATATGATGAGGGGAAAAAAAATAAGAATAAAAAAAAATTATATATATATTTTTTTATTTCAGTAGGATTCCTCTGTATGTTCCATAGGTTTGGAAGTGGACTTTGCAAATATAAAGAAGATACAGCATATTTTGTTTAACCTAATACCTGCACATACCCATAATGTTCACCTTATGATCTAAATTATCCCCCTTCAATGTGTATGGATGCTAGGTAAATGTTGCATGCTAACAAGCAATTACGTAGTCATTTAGCAACAGTATATGTAGGTCACCATTACAATTACAGAGTTGTGGTACGTAGAGTGGTCCCACCTAGATGGTCCTGATCTTGCCTTCAAATTTTACCAAAAACAGCAGGTTGCTCAATATATTTCTTTTTATTTAATGAGATTAGTGGCAGAAATACAACTGAGAAGTTTGTGATAGGCTGAATGTAACAAGCCTAAATAACATCATTCTATTTTAACTGATTACCAGGTAATTCTTTATAGCATGTATGCACTAGCCAGAGACCCAGGAACCATTGTCATCACCTTGTTATGCAAAGCAAGATAGAGCTGAAACTTGGGAGCACCGAGTGGACTTAGCTGAGAGCAGCACTTTCTGCTATATTTTACCTTTATTTGTGCTATTACCATTTGTGCCTGCAGATTATTTCTTGTACCAATGACTAGAACTTTTTGTCCTCTACATGAATATCATATTAATTTTGCCTTAAGCTGGTGCTTTCATACTGTAAAGATTAACTGATTATCATTATTACCCTTATCACTGTGTCAAGTGCAGGATACGAAAGTATAGGTGAAAATGTGTGGCAGTGGAATGCTTATTGCAAGGTGGTATAGCCTGCAATATTAGCTTTTCTATGAAACCTGTATCTACTTAGGGTGTGATAATCCTATGCACATTATATCCAGCTAGTTAACTATAACTACCACTAAATGAGTTTTGCTATTCATCTGACACCAATGTTTGAACGTGAAATATTTGCGACTTCACCTGCCCGTAATTATGTAATTAGCCTAATGTTATAAGTCTGCTACAAACTAAATACATTCTTATCTTAGAGTACCCGTAGAAATAAAATTCATAAATTATAATGACGAATTTGAAATATTAAACTGATATCAATATGAAATTATACTAATGCAAAGGACCTTTCAATATGTAAATAATTTGAGTTAGTGAAAGACATTAAATATCTAAATTTGTTAATCTTTACAGTATGGATGCACAAACTTAAGGCAAATTGAAAAAGTTACACTAGTCGGTACAAGAAATAATCTGAAGCCACAAATCAAAGTAAAAGATTGTGTAAATCGCCGCTTTCAACCCAAGTTCACTCGGTGCTCCCAAGTTTCAGTTCTACCTTGGTGTGCATACCAAGGTGAACACAATGTTTTCCGGGCAGTGCTGAGGGGGAGAGCCCCCCATCAGCCCTCCTTTCAGGCACTGCCTGAGGGGAACACCTGGCCAGTTACGAAAACTTATATTGATGAATAATTTTGATGCAGTTTTCGTCTCTGGCAAGTGCATCCATTTACATGAAGAGAAATATGATTCTTCTTTGCCCATAGAGCCCAGCCACTTTCCCTGAACCCAGCCTAGCACTGAATTTAATTTTCACTTAGATTATTTTGGGATTTTACTTTTACAAATTTCTCATCCTACACAATACAAGGCTGTGAGTACTATCATATGTATCAGGAATTTAAAACTCAAACACAAAATCAATGGACTTCTCAACATTTAAATTTGACAGCCTTAGAAATGTGAAAGTCGTCTTTCGGGGAAAGAAATGCCCACAGAGTCGAGAATGGGCCACTCGTGCACACACGAGAGGAAAATTTTTATTGTCATTGATAAGGCAGCCAAGCCATGGGAAAAGGCGAAGAATAAAATCCAGCAGACCACAGCCGCCGAGGGGGAGTGGAGGGGGACAGGCGCTCAGCCCAGCCAGCCTCCCGTTTCACTTCCATTTAACTCTCGTAGCAAAAAGCACATTCTTATTCAACTCTCCCAGACAATGAAATACTAACTAATCTACAACCTTGCGCTCAAAAATACTACTTTTGACTCACCTCCTGTCCGCTAACAGGCAAATAGTTGTTGATTCAAGGCCATGTCAATCAGCTGAGCGAGTAAACACAGAAGTAAACATGTCAATGTTGCCAAATTCACGGGAGAAATGTGGCACCGCTGCAGCACTCACTTTCCCCGCCACATTTAACCCTTTTGCTCTCACTCTCTTTCTCTCTTCCTCCTCCCCCTCTCTTTCTTTTAATTTTTCTCTCTTCCTTCCAGTCTCTCCTTTCTTTTCCCACATCCCTCTCTCTATCTCCATGATTTTATTATTATATATTTTCTATGTCACTATATAGGATACTTAGTATTACCATTACCGTTTCTTACATGTTACTATAACTTTATATGTGTGCTGAATACGAG